TTGAAGGACGTGGAGATGAATTACCACGCTACAGAAAAGGAAGTGTTAGCACTGCTGCTACTACTGAAGACTTGTTATATACAACTAGCTGGACGCGCCTTACATGTGTACACTAGGTTCTCGACGTTGGAATGGATAGCCAAATCCAAGTCACTCTTCGGGAGAGCAGTCCAATGGGCCGTGCTGCTGTCACCGTGGCACCTGATTGTCCAGCGGATTAAAGAAAAGGACTGCGCTTTCACAAGATTGATCCAGTCAACGGTAACGAGCTTTGTGGATATTGATGACTCGCTGGAACTAGTAGCTCCACCTCAGAAAGGATCACCGACCGCTCGGATAGACCCACAACTCCTCTATACCAAACTACCTCTTGACTATTCGGGACTCGTGGTTTCTTTTGACGGGTCAGCGAAGACTGAGAAGAACGGTGGATACGGGAGTTGTGCGCGGGTGGTATGGCGTTTACCTGAATGGACGATAGTGCTTGCTGCGAGTGCGTACCTGGAGGCAACAACTGTGAACGTCGCAGAGTATACCGGGATGAACAACGGAGTAAGAGCAGCCTAGAACTGGGTGCTGACAATTTAGTGGTTGTGGATGACTCCAGGCTTGCAATCCAACAATCCCTAGGGGTGATTGCATGCCGAAAGGAGACGCTCATGGCTCAATTGAACCACCACAAGGAACTGACGTCAAAGCTAAAGTCAGTCAAGTACCTTCACATTTTGAGAGAATTCAATGCAGCCGCAGACTCACTAGCGACGGAAGCACTGGAATCGAAGACATCAAAAGTGGTATTAGATGAAAGCAACTCGAGTTGGCAGGACTCAATCGCATCCGAGAAGTGATCTACGACTCCAGTCAAACCAGAATTGAGATAAAACCCGTTGCTGAAGACTCAACCCGAAGTATTAGCACAATATCAGCCTCTCAGTCCAAACCATTTGCTGACTTCGTCCAGACAACACAGAGATCATCAACACGCTATGTATCAGCCGTGACAAGAAGACAAACAATAACTCAGAAGAAGCGGGTACATTTTGCCGACGATTC